GGAGCTGGGTGAAGTGGGAGCAGGCAAGTGATCCAGTCAGGCTCAGTCCCATGAGGGCATGTGTGCTGCATACAACGTGTAAAGACAGCAAGGCATGAGGGTTTGTCCCCAGGACAGTTTCTTGGATGAAGGAAGATGACTAAATCATGCTCCTCAGCCCTCCTCTGTGTTGGCAGCAAGTGTGCTGCCTGATATGATTGTGTCCCTGTGCAAAGGTTGGCAAAACCTGGGTTGTGCAGATGCCGTCACAGCCAGCTTCAGACCTGGTGTAAAGGTGCAACTTTGCTGACTTCAGCCAGGCAGCATGGTAGAGCGAGCAGGCCACTGAGCTGGTTCTAGGGCAGTGGTTTTCAGCATTTTCAGACCCAAGGCCCCCCTTGTTAGCCATGAGGCCCCCTTGATGCACCCCTCTGAAATGCCAGCTCTTGCTTTTTACTTGTTTTTTAACTACAGGAAAACACTAGAGTAATTCTTCAGTTGTAAAAAACTCAGAAAGCCCACAGTAGGGCAGAATAGTTTTGACACTGTGGATCACAGAATCATAGAAAAATGAGGGTTGGAAGGGACCTCAGGAGGTTACATTTAATCCAACCCCCTGCTCAAAGCATGACCATCCCCAGCTAGATCATCCCAGTTAAGGCTTTGTCTAGCTGGGTTTTAAAAGCCTCCAAAGATGGAGCTTCCACCACCTTTCTGGATAACCTGTTCCAGTGTTTTACTACCCTGCTAGTGGGAAAGTTTTTCCTAATATCTAACTTAAACTTCCCCTCCTGTAGCTTGAGACTATTGCTCCTTGTTCAGTCATCTGCCACCACTGAGAGCAGTCTAGCTCCATCCTCTTTGGAACCATCCTGCAGGGAGTTGAAGGCTGCTATTAAATCTCCTCTCAGTCGTCTCTTCTCCAGACTAAATAAGCCCAGTTCCCTCAGTCTCTCCTCATAAGTCATGTGCCTGAACCCCCTAACTTTTTTGTTAGGATTCCTGTTTGAAATCTCTGGGTTTATCTTGTGAATCATGACTCTGCACTTGTGGGGCACCCTGTGGCACCCTTGAAAGGATTCCGTGGCACAGCCCCTTGGTTGAGGATCACTGCTTTAGGGGGAATGTAGGGATCTGGTCCCTGTTGTGCCCCTGATCTGCTTTGTGACTTTGGGCAAGTGGCTTCTCCTTGCTCTTCCTCAGTTTCCCCATCTGACCCCCCTGGTGAAGCACTGTGGAGGCAGTGGACAGGCGCTGCTCTGTCTGGCAATGCTGGATTATTCAGTGCTGCTACACCTGGTTGTACAACCCTGAATCCAGACTGCACCTCAGATCCTGCAGCCACTGCTCTTGCAAAGACCAAGCCCCCATTCTTTTCTTCCTTGTTTCAGGGTCTTCTCATGTTATTACAAAACCTACCCACAATACATTGGGGCAACGAAGAGATCGGTCTCCTCCTCGCTGAAGCCTACAGACTCAAGTACATGTTTGCGGACGCCCCCAATCACTACCGCCGATAGGTGCCAGGACTCGGCCCCTCCCCCACACTCGGCCCCTTCCTCTGGCCTGATCTAATCACTGTGGCATTTTGTCGTGAAAGTCCTCAGACACTGGCCAGGAGCCACTGCTCACTGTACAAAGCTCCCATCGACTTGTCTTAACTCTCAGTGTGCCTGCCTGCCACTCCGTGCACGTGGATGTGCCACTCCAGCTACCATCAGTATTTCATACCGTGCCAGTGGCCTGAGTCTGGGGAGGAGCAGAAAAGGAGCCAGGAGGGGGCAGTTCCTGCAGCTTGAAGACTAAACTGAGCCGAGGACTGGAAGGCCCCAGGCCTGGTCCAGCTGTGACCGACTGTCTTAGCCTTGCTGACTTTTGTTAACCCACTCAAGCACAGACACACCCCATCCCCGCACGCAGCACTCCCCCAGCTGGGTCCATTCCCCCTTCAGATGCCGTTCGATCCAGGTCCCGGATGAAATGCCTTACCAGAGACTCGCCCCAGCTGGAAGCCTTTTCAGGGGATGGCCATGCTGTAGGACGCAAGCAGCTCTCAGGGCCTCGCTTTGCTCCACGTGTCTGAAGAATTGCAGCACTTCAAGGGTTAACAAGAGACACACACTCCCTTCCCGTGCAGCACGCCAATACGCGTGTGGCATGAGTACACGTGTTTGGGGGAGGGGGGAATGGCTGACCCATCCACGCACAGTCCTGGATGATGCGCGTCAACTCCTGTGAATAACCAGTCAAATCTGCTGTTGGCACAGCCCCTCCAGGGCAGGGGAGGGTGGAGGGGCTGTGCCACTGGAAACCCCCTTCCCATGACAACACTCCTCCTCCAAGGCGTTCTGTGTATATGGTGTTCTTGTGTATATGGGTATCAGATGTACAATATACGTCCTCTGTTTGTAGCAGATATGATTTTATATTTATAATGTGCGTCCCATGCGTGTAAAGCCAGCCTAGGTACGAGTACAGTAGGGCTCCGGTCTCCTCGGCATGGCGGGTTTTGGAGCTGTAGGCACTTCTGCACTAGCACATTTGAAGAAATGAGGGTTTATTTTCTATCAGGAAAACTTGACTTAAAAATCTGTCTCGAGGCCCCCCAAGGTGCAAGAGGGGTTTCAAGGAGAGGGAGGAGCTTGCCGTGGCTGGAAGAACTCAGTACTCAGCCATGCTCTTTTCAGCCCAGCCTCCAGTGATCTCCGCCCAAGCGCTCCAGTGTGGCTCTGGTCACCTCTGCTGCCTTGGGTCATTACTGTACCATGCTGGAGGCCTCTTGTTTGGAGAGCAGTGAGCATCAGTCTGCTTCCCCCAGCTTTTCTCCCTCCCCTGCCCCACGGTGTTGTCCCATCAGGTCTTTAGGGACGTGAAGAGAAAGAGCCGTCCCCTCTTGCACGTCTCTGCACACTCCCGGGGAGCAGTGGGAACAGCGGTGGCCTCTCCCCAGACTCCCCACCCCTTTTCCTGACCCCGACCCCCCTCCTTGCCTCCATGTGCTTTTAAGGAAACCAGTTTTGAATGTTTTAAGGTAACACTTTAGTCCTGCCCGGAAACGGGATCCCCTCAGTGCCAAGCAGTGTGGGGCACATTCCTCCCCATGGGTTGCTTCCTGCTGGCATGACCTTGGCTCATCTCCTCAGGAGCCTCTGATAACTGTGTTTCTCAGAAAGAGGCAGTCCCAGGGGCTTCAAGTCAGATAAGCAGCCCCAGAGAGGCCGGAAGGTGTGGGCGCGTGTGAGAGAGCCTTGTTGCCAATAAAACTCCAACCAGTGTCTCAAGAGTTGCTTTCCTAACCTGGAGTTGTTTTCTCAGGCATTTGGACTTGATTTTGTGTGCGTGCGTGTGTGTGTGTGCGTGCCTTTTGTTGTTTTCTGGGAGAGAGCGACCTGGTGGTCATTAGTTTAACATGACTAATTAAAAAACCAACAATGAGCCTGCGTTCTGGGAGCTCTTTTGTTTGTCATGGTTGGTGGGGACCAAAGCAGGGCTGGTAAAGACCTGCCTCGAGCCAGCTGGGTGACCTTTGAGACTTACTGTGCTGCCCCCCCATCCTCCCTGAAAATGGAGGTGGTGACCTTGACCTCTCTTGTCAAGCACTTTGCAGTCTCCCAAGAAGAAATGTTCACAAGGGCTCATGATTGCTTATTACAACATTTTAACTAGAGGCAGTGCTGCTGTTTCTCTCTGAATTGACATTCAGGCCCTCAGTTACCAGCCTTCATTTTAAAACCCCGGCTCTCTACCTGAGGTGCATTCTCATTGACTCCCGAATGGTTGGGTTTGATGCTGGAGCTGCTGGTGGAGCTGCTGCGGCCTGGCTTTCTGTGAAAGGTCAGACCAGGTCAGGGTGACTATCCCATTGGACCTCACAGCCGCAGGTGCAGAGTCCAGAAAACCCAAGTCTCTTGGAAATGAAAGGTTCTACATGTACATGGTGCTGAGGAGCTGCGCTGTAGAAGCCAAACATTCTCCTTGCTCAGACAAGTACATCAGGAGACACAGGAAAAGGCCAAGCTTCCCTCCGGGCCCTGCCAAACCACTTCAGCTCTGATCTGAGAGCAGGGCAGTTTATCTTGGGATCACAGCAGAGTCCTATCAAACCCCAGCCTCTGCAGAGAACACAGCGTGGAAGACGGCATGCAAGAGACGCAACCTGCAGGACCAATTCACTGGGCTACCTAATGGCCACTGCCTACATTGCAGTAGTCCTAGAGGTTCCCTCTGCTCAGCATGGCACACAGCTGTATTGAGAAGAGTTCACTGTCTAAATACATGACAGGTTGGGATGGGTGAGTGACATGCCACAGCTCACATGGAGGGTCGGTGGCAGAGGTGTGAGTGGAGCCCAAGGGGAACTCCCAGGCCAGGCCCCGACTTCTAACTCCTGCTTCCTCCTGTCAAGATGGTGAAAACTTTGGGCTGCCATTGACCTGCATGGGGACTGAACCGCACCCTCAAAGGGGAAAACTGTTGCTTTATTGCCAGTTCCCCTGAGAGATCCAGCCTGCCACTTCCAGCCTGCATGAAGGGTTCCTCTCTCGCCTGCCGCAGCTTGCTTGCTGTCACTCAGGGCCAACAATGAATTCTGTGTGCATGAGGTCAACCCTGTAGCAGGTCGACCTGTTGGACAGCCAGTGCCAGGCCTGCACCAGGTCAACCCCATGCATCTCTATGGGAGGTTGGCCTCTTGTCCAGACAGTCCCACCCAGGCCTCGTGTCCCACCTTGCATTTCTGTGGGGAGTAATCTATCGTCTGGGGAGCTGCAGGTATGTGACAGATTAATCAAGTGAATTCCTATGGAATGCCGATCTTGTCCAGGCAGTACTGCTGAGCGCCAGGTCAACCCCATGCATACCTGTGGGAGGTGGCAGGGGTGGCCTGACCCCAGGGATTATTTAGGCAGCAGAATAAGACTCCCAAGATGATGGGGGCAGCTAGCTGCTGGGCCACTTTGGCCCCAGGCACTGGTGACCATTGGAGTGGCAGGATCAGGCCTCTGGGGTGCTACCATGAGCATCACTTGAGGAAGGGGCAAAACAAGTGGGAAGCTGCAGACAGTTTACCTTTGGGCCACCAGGTCACCCCAGTACATTGCTGTGGGAGGTTGACCTGTTGAGTAGTCCTGGCTGGGCACTGGGGTGCTGACAGATGTGCAGGCCCCTGCTCTAACTCATGGCACTTTGCATAAAGCACCATCAGTTAGAGCACATCCCCAAACCAACAGACATTTGCCTGTTGGGTCAAGGGGCCAGGCTCGAACCTGCTTGCAGGGGTGGGGGGAGCCACCCTCTCCCCAGCGCTGCCTCTGTCCGCCCAGTTCTAGGGCTGTCAGTGGGAAGGATGTGGGAAGGGCGAAGCCAGAAGCAGTGAGCTGCCAGCTGGGGTTTGCCCAGCCTGAACTGGAGGGGGGCAGGGAACTCCAATCCATCTGTGCCCCCCACCCCTCTCCAGCCCCTGGATAAATTAATCCTAGGGAACCCAAGTTCCCTAAGGTGCCCTAAAGATACCTCATTTGATGAGGGTTAATTTTTCATATCATCAGCTACTTTAGAAGTGCTTTGCAGCTGTGCACATGTCACAGCACAACTGTAGGGCACTTTCAGGAGGCTGATTGTGTGACAAATGTAATCTCTGTCTGTGCCCCAGGTCATCATCACCATACATTTCTATGGGAGTTTGATCTGTTGTCTGAGTAGCCCCTGCTGGGCACCAGGTCACCCATCTGCCTTCCTATGGGAGGCTGACCTTGTGTCTGCAGTCCCACCCAGGCCTCAGGTCATCCACTTGCATTTCTATGGCAGTTGTTCCTGT